CTGCTGAACATGGACAAATTCTCTGGCTGCCTGACTTATGATAGTCATGGAGTTCCCTAGGTCCTGGGATTCCTAAGAACAAGAGTGCATAATAATCATCACTTCTTTTGAAGAGCAGCTTGAAGGTCAGACAGGTTCATAAGAGTACTGTGGATCTGGATCCTTGTTCTCTCTGGGTGATAGAGCTTGCTTCAGTCCAGAGTGATCTATCCAGCAAAAATGAGTTGTTAGTAACACAAAATGAGGACCTGTCCATATTGGGTTCAGTTGATCTTGCAGGAATCTTGATTTCCATGTTTTTAACACGTTAAGCACCATGTCAGTCACCAGTGACTGACACTATACTTTCCCATTTGGACCTCCTTAGTCTCCGGCCACCAGCATATTGGTGAAATTGGATATCGCGGACTAAATGGAAAGGAAGACAAAACAGGCTTGGCGCTTAACATGTTAAATATACCTGGTTCCCTGGATCATATAGGTGTACCTTAGTGTCTGTTTGTGTGGGTAAAATCAGGTTAGCACGGTGGTTGGCTAACTGCGGCCCCTTGAGTGTGGCTCTTCCACAAAATACCACATGCGGGCGCGCACATACAGTGCGATTGAAATTTCATGGCCACACTCAAGGGGCCAAAGAGCCTCATGTGGCTCACGAGCCACAGTTTGCCGACCACTGGGTTAGCATATTTATTTAAGTTTTAAGTTACCTTTCCTAAGTGGGTTATATGTTTAACGACCTATTTTATAAGTGGGTCTTGGCACCCTAAAATTTTAAAGGAGCCTGTTAAGGCCTACCATACATAAGTTCAGAAGTAGTCAACTTCAGTATTCCTTTAGGTGCTGCTCTGGTCTGGGTTAAGACAGTCAGTAATTAAGCCAGGTCTTATGGGTTTCTTGGCACATTTTGGCTAGGGTCTTTTTGAGCAGTTGATTGCATTATTCTGTTTTAACTGAGGACTGTGGTCTCCATGAAGAATGTAAGCTCCACCTAAGATGGAGAGCCCAATGCTACAGCCACTGTAAAAGCCAGCCCATTGTCACTCTGAAAGATCCAGGGGAGTCCTAACGTAGGTATTATTTCCTTAAGCAGACCTTTACAACGTCATTGCTCCTTTCACTTTATCATGGGAATAATCTACCCATCCATGAAAGGTGTTTACTAACACTAATAAGTACTTGAATCTTCCAGGACCAAGGAACATTACTGTAATGCCCACCTTCCAGTCTTTTCCAGGTAACATTCCCCAGGCCTGGACTGCCTTAAAGTGGTACCACAGGTCTAATATATGCATTGTACACAGCTAGCCATAACACTATTAATGAATCTTCTCATGCCTGGGATCACTATTACCTGAACTAACTGTTCATATAGTGCTTCCTTCCCAGGGGTTCTTTTCTTTTTTTCTTTCTTTAAATTAAATCTTTATTGATCAGATTATTACAGTTTCTCATTTTTTCCCCCATAGCTCCCCTCCACCCGGTTCCCACCCCACCCTCTGCCCTTACCCCACCCCCCCACTGACCTCATCCATAGGTGTACGATTTTTGTCCAGTCCTTCAGCAGCAAAAAACAAACAAAAAAAACCCAACAACGAAAACCTGATCAATTCTCTTTGTAATGAATTCCAAGAATGTTTAATCATTTCATGACTTCCCGGAGAACCCCTTAAATATTCCACTAAAGAAGCTACCATACTCTCCTTACATGAACTACTAGAGCTTAGGTTTTCTTTTTATCACTAGATGTTTTTTGATGTGGTTCTCTTTGGATTCCTTTTGTTTGGGGTTCTCTATGCTTCCTGGACTTGTAAGTCTATTTATCTTTCACCAGGTATGGGAAGTTTTCTGCCATTATTTCTTCAAATATGTTTTCAATATCTTTCTCCTTCTGGCACCCCTATAATTCATATGTTAGTTTGCTTGAAGTTGTCCCAGAGGCTCCTTATATTATCTTCATATTTTTGGATTCTTTTTTCTTTTTGCTTTTCCGGTTGGGTGTTTTTACTTCTTCGTATTTCAAATCTTTGACTTGATTCTTGCGATCCTCTAGTCTGCTGTTGGATCTCTGAATAATATTCCTTATTTCAGTCAGTGTATGCTTAATTTCTAGTTGGTCCTTTTTCATATCCTCTAAGGTCTCACTAGATTTATTGAGAGTCCCACTAAATTTATCGGCAGTTTCTAGAAAATTGTTGAAAAACCTTAAAAGTGTGGTTTTTAACTCTGTATCCAGTAGTTTGCTTTCCTCCATTTCTGTCATTTGTGACCTGTTTCTTTTTCTCCACATTTTGGCTGCTTCCCTGTGTTGATAGGGTGGCTTTCTGTGCTAGGTGTCTTATAGGGCCCAGTAGCTCAGCCCCCCCAATTACCTGAGGTGGACACTCTTGGTGCACCCCTTTGTGGGCTGTGTGCACAATCTTGTTGTAGTTAAGCCTTGATTGTAGTTGGTATCACTGGAAGGAATTGACCTCCAGGCCAATTGGCTGTGAGAATCAGCTGTGTCTATGGTGGGATAACTTCTGTGCTGGAGACACCCTTATGGGGCAAGATCTGTTTCTTTGGGGCTTTGCTGCTCACTGAGTCTGCCCCCTGAGTGTGTCCCTTATGGATCTGAGGAGTTGTAATCTGGATGGTCCCACTCTGACCACTGGGTACACTGGCACTTGTATCTCTAAGGAGATGCTAATTTAGCCTCTGCCTGAGGCTACTCAGCAGGAGCTACGGAGGGATCTGCAGATTCCTCTTCTTTGTTTGGGATTTGGAGGTGTCCAGATGAGGCCCAGCTGTTAAGCAGTGCAATAATAAAAGAACCCTTGGGGGAGAAACCAAGATGCAGCATAGGTAAATACCTGAAATTGCTGCCTCGCATAACCACTGCAAAAATACAACTAAAAGACAAAACAGATATCATCCAGAACCACAGGAAGGGTGGCTCAGTGGAAATTCTACAACTAGAAGGAAAGAGAAAAGCACACTGAGACTCAGAGGAGG